TATATATATGTGTGTGTGTGTGTGTGTGTGTGTGTGTGTGTGTGTGTGTTTGTGTGTTTGTGTGTGTGTGTGCGCACGCTTCTGTAATGGAGGTAAAGCTCATAATGGTCAGAAAAAAATTGCTGCTCCATTTGAACTAATATAAAGCTACACTAATGATACCAAAAAAAGAGGTGGGGATGGAGGATCCTTGTTGAGGTACACCCTGATCCAAATTGCTTTGAGGATTTTATAACGTGTTTGGTCTCTCTCTCTCTCATTCTCTCGCTCTCGCTCGCCCACCCCCCTCCCTCTCCTCAGAGAATCTTCTGATGGCGTGGACATTGTTCTGGATTGTCTGTGTGGTGATGACACCAATAAGGGAATTGCTCTCCTCAAACCTATGGGAAAATACATTCTCTACGGTAAGAGTATGCACCAATACATCTACACTAAAGTTTTGTTTTGTTGAAGTCTACACGCATTATACATTATACTCCTTTACTTTTACACAATTGTATTGTTTTGATGCAGACTACAAGCTTATGCTTCAATACTTCTACGCCAGTTTTTGTTTTTTAAACATATTTTGGTGAAGTTTATGAGCTTATGCTCCTATACCTTTACACGAACGTGTTGTTTTTGTGGAGTCTACAAGAGTATCCCTCAGTACAGGTACACCATTGAGGTTTTTTGTGTTGTATTTAGACGAATGCTCCAATACTTCTACACCATCCTTTTGTCTACAAGAGTATATTATACCAATACTTCAAGATCATTGTTTTGCTGTGGTACAGTCGACTGAACTAACCGATAAAACAACCCAAAAGCCATGCTGAATTGGGAGAGTATTATTTTTATATTACCTTGGGTGGTAGATCGTTTGTGTTTCCCTCAGCGTTTGATTGGATTTGAACCTTTCTTTTTGTTAGTATTTTTCCCCTTTCCCTTCACGTTCTCAACACTTTTTTTGTTCTTTGAGACTGGTGTTTTTTTAGGTGTAACTTTTCGACACTTTTCCGTTGCTCGCTAGAGACCGAAGTGTATGCCACACATTGGGAAGTTTGTCATATTGTGCATTTTCGTTTAGATTCTTTATCCCGTTTGCCTGGATACGCCCTGATAAGAAGAAGTTTTGTCGAAGAAGTTTTGTCTTATAGAAAAGAACATTAGAGTGAGAGTAATGGAAATGAATTCACGAAAGTGTTAAAAAGAATTCATGATAACAGTGACACAGGAAAATTAATAAGTGTTAAAAAGAATTCATGATAGTGTTAAAAATAATGAAAACACTGATTTTTAAACAAATGCATAAATGTTAAAAAGAATTCATGATAGTGTTCTGCTGTTGCAGGATCTTCCAACATCGTGACGGGCGAAACGAAAAGCTTTTTCAGCTTCGCCAAATCGGTGAGTTTTGCAGTAAGTTGACCTAAGGAGTAATGTGGTGTTTGTATGTCCAGCTAGAAGTCTGTATCTTTTGAATGTCAATATATCAGTTGATGCTTTGATCAGTGTTTGTGTTGGATCATCGTTGTCTGTAAAAGTAAAGTATAACCCTCCATGTCATTGCGCAAATACAATACACATGCACACGCACTCGCACACGCACACACACAGGCACATTCAATGCATGCTTTGTAATTGTGCGAATGTGTTTGTGTGTGTGTGTGTGTGTGTGTGTGTGTGTGTGTGTGTGTGTGTGTGTGTCATGTTTTTGTTCTCAATTGACATAGATCTAGCACGAACCAACACTTTGACACTTACGATGATCCCGGAAGTTGCGCAGTGGGTCAAGCAAATCAAATGGGTGGCTATATTTGACTTTTACTTCCCCGTGAACATTTATCGAAGACATTAATTTGTCAGTAAAGTTCTGTAAGGAAGGTGTCTATGGTGTGACAGAAAGTGCTTCACTGTCGCAAGCTGGGGACCAGAGTGGGTAGAATTTTTATCGAGTATCTCCGTCTATCTGGCTGGCCCCGAGAGGCAGGGTCGGGAGCCCGCTTCCTAAATGGTCTAAATTGAGTCGATTGAGGCGTAAAACTCCTACATTTTCAAAAGAAGAAAGTTTTGCTTTGCCTTTTGGTCTTTCCACAGTTTGGCTGTCCTGTGCTATACGAGGGCGACTGAGTTGTGAGATTCTGTAATTAGCTTTTGATCTTTCTCAATCAAGCATTTTGTTCATGAGGTAGAAATTTGAAAGTAGCTGTGCTTTAACATGTTTGCTTTGTCATAATTTGAAAGATGGTTCTTCTTCAAAGCTTACTTTAATTTGGGGACGGACTGCGTTCTGACGCGTGGATGCATAAGTGTGAATGTGCCTGTGCGTGTGCGTGTGCGTGCGTGCGTGCGTGCGTGTGTGTGTGTGTGTGTGTGTGTGTGTGTGTGTT